AGGCAGGGTTTTGTGGGGAAGGTTGCGATCAAGGTCGCCCAAGACTGACCGTTGAAGGGCATTTCTTAGGTAGTGATTGAGATACTGTAGGAGAACACGAGCCTCGAGTTCTCAAAGATACATCTGCTTTTTCAAGTACCTGGATTTGCAATTCCATGATAAATGTAATTCAGTTTCATCTGCACACAATGTCCAGCGAGGCATGACTACAGTCCGATGCACCGCGTTGGAAGGCATCGGTCGAAAACGCTGCAAGTGCTGACATACAGGCCCCTTCAGCGATCTTGAGGGGACATGTAACTAAAACCGATGTGTTAGCGCACCAGAGCGATCGCCATGCAAACGGGCGCGAAAACTAACAGTGACGGGCAAAGCACGAGTAGCCACGTGTTTTGCAGTTACAGTATGTGAGATAAGAATGTAAGCCATGTCAGCGTGCGGCAGAAAGTTGCCGTGTTGAAAGGATTCCAGCCTCATGACGTATCAGATTTTCGTGTGAAAGCTGTCCTGTTGTCTGAGTAGATGTTGGCATTAGAACGGATATTTTACCGTCTGCGTGAGTCCTTTCCGTGACATCAAAGTCAGCCATCAAAAATCTAGTATTCGTACCCAGCTTTACAGAGGAGCAACTGCCTGCACCACACTATCATGGCGCCCCTGGAGATTCTCATCGTCGGCTGTAGCATCGCCGGGCCGACTCTTGCCACTTTTCTCTTACTCACTGAGACACCGGCGTCTGAGAAACCTCGCACCACGATCTTGGAGAGAGCACCAGTTTTCCGTCCTCAGGGCCAGAACATCGATGTTCGAGGTGCGGGGGTGACCATCATCCGCAAACTCGGACTCGAAGCCGCCATACGTGGTGCCACCACAGGCGAAGAAGGCGTACATTTCGTCGATAGAAATGACCAAATATGGGCCTCTTTCGGGGCCGACAAGAGCGGCAGGACGCAAACCCCCACAAGCGACATCGAGATTCTGAGGGGCCGGATGGCAGATTTATTGTACAAGAAGAGTCGGGAGGTTAGCAAGGCGGTGCAAGATGAAGGTGGGGCCGGGATTGAGTACATCTTCGGGGACTACCTGGATCAGCTGGAACAGGATGGCGACAAAGTCCATGCCCACTTCGCGAAGAGTGGTGAAAGACGGACTTTCGACATCGTTGTTGGAGCTGACGGTCTCCAAAGCGAGACCCGAAAACTGGCTTGGGGGCAAGAAGGTGACGAGGACAGGATGAACAGACTCAGCATGTACGGCGGTTTCTTCAGTATGCCGCGCGGCCCCACAGATTCGGAATGGCGCCGGTGGTTCCATGCCGAAGGCCGCCGTGGAATCATGATCCGTCCGTCAGGTTTGAAGGACCGGACGACGGTCTTCATGGCCATTGTCAACGACCAAGATGACAGACTTCGGGCAGCTGCAGAGAGAAAAGGGGGAAGCACTGCAGCGCAAAAAGCGATTCTCAAGGAATACTTTGAAGGTCTGGGGTGGGAGACTGATCGGATTATCAAGGAAATGATGGCGACTGATGACTTCTACTACGACACCATCAGCCAGATCAAAATGGAGAAGTGGAGCAAAGGCAGAGTTGTTCTCCTGGGAGATGCAGGGTACTGCGCGAGTCCCTTGTCAGGCATGGGAACGACCCTGGCACTGAACGGCGCCTACAACTTGGCGGGCGCCATCACACAATTCCCGAACGACTTGCAAGCCGCCTTTGATCAATATGAGGAGAAGATGCGGCCGACGGTTGACAAAGCGCAGCGTCTGGCACCAGGCATGCCTCATCTGTTTCACCCAGAGACGGCCTGGGGAGTCTGGATGTTGAACATCTTCGTGTTCTGCCTTTCATGGTCAGGATTGATGGCGCTTGCGGTGAAATGGGAGCCGCCGGCTAACGAGGTCCCCGTTGAGGAGTATGGCTTCAGATCTCTCCAAGAGAAGCAAGTGCTATGAAACCGAGGGATGGCGTTGTCCGGTGACTACAAGTGGCTTATTGTGGTATAGAAGCTCCGCTCATAGACATGCATCCAATCTGTCGAAGAATCTGAGGTACTCGATTAAAAATTGATTGTAGCCTAATTCAAATGATGTCATCGCTGGGCCAAGCAGCATCCTACGGTTGAAGCCAAGTATCACCAACTGGATCAAAATTGCATGCCAGTGTCATTGGTGTATCGGGGAATGTTTCCCAATAACTCAAGATTTTACTGTTGCTCGGATATATATCAAAGTCCGCGAAGGAATTAGGCAAAGCATTCGGTCGCGCAAGAGGCTCTGCTTTGATCCGAGCTCATTGTTGACATCCCGCGCCGCGCACCGACGCCGCGCACGTGGAAGGCAGCAAGTTTAGGGAATCAACTGGGGCTTTGAAGAAGAAGGAAGGCTGAATTCACAGCTTTTTGGGTAATAGTGTGGGACTTTCTCATCACTGGAAGATACTAAAACGTCGCCCAATCACTACCAGAGTCTGTTGAATTGAATTGTTAGTTTCCCCCTGCATCAGGGAGGCTATGTCATCTGAATACAATTTACAATGACGCGAATTACGGCATGGAAAACTTCGGACGGGCGAATAGCATTATGCTTTGTCTAAATTCGAAGTTGAAGCTGGTTCGGACGGCCGCTACTGCTCGCGCCTCCGTCCCGTCTCTCAGAGCCCGGGCCAACCACCCCACACGAGCTACTGAGAGACTAAGAATCTCGGACGGTCTTGCGCGACCCCAGAGGAACATACGACAAGCTAAGCGCAGCTGCATTTCTGGATCGGTATTCGTGTGCTAGGCAGAAAGTAATCTTGTTGTCTGGGTGAGAGGTGCGGCATGCGGTGCAAATCCAAGAATACCCGCGCCCGTTTTGAAGCACAGAGTCTGATGACAACATGAACCCGACATGCAGGATCACGGTCTAGACTTGAGTCCAATCCAAACCGCCGTGCCTGTAAGCTCTCATTGAATGCACTCGGTGATGTTTATAAAGACCTCTTGTTTCCAGCTGGATCCAGACTTTTTTTCCATCAACTCACCAGCAGTACTCTGACTAAGTTCTCACGCTAAGATCACATTCGTTTCTTTCTTTTGATTACTCCATTCAGCTTTCGGAACGCCTCCAAGAAATACGATGTTTGCCAAGTGTTACACTTCACTTGTATTGTGCGCCGCGTTGCTTACTGGCGGAGCCGACGCACAAGGAGCAAATTGGGGAGGCTTCAACACAATCCGCAACATCTGGACTGCTGGAGCGTCCATTGATTACATTGGCTCCGGTCCGCTGTAAGTTAGGGACTGAAAAAAGAGCAAGTACGCATAGTGACGGAGTTGGGCTTCAGGAGCTACAGCACGACTGCCAACGGTCCCAACCACATCAACTACATTGTCAACGCACGAGGAGCGAACAATGTCAACCTCAATAAATTCGCTTTCCCAGGTGCCGTTACCGACAGCCGCTATGCCACGCCTACTTCGGTCTTAGGCTTCAACCCTATCATCAACTGGAATGACCAGATCACCAACATCGCCAACGTCTTTTCGGCTGCTCGACTAGCAGGCAATGCCTCATCCAGGGACTCTCTGTTCATTTTCCTTGGTTCCAACACCGGAAACGATGTACTCAACACATACAACACCACCAACCAGCCTCAACTCATCACCAACCTGATTGGCACAATCCGCACCAAGTTCGACCAGGTAAGTAATCCCATCAAGGTAGCCTAATCGCAGCATCGATCGCTAATGGAAATTGAAGATCTACAATGCTGGTGCCCGCAACTTCATTTTTCTCTCTGTCCTGCCCGCGGAGCTCATTCCCCTCATCCAGAGCCGCGGTGCAACCGACATTGCCAAGGTTGCCGACTTTGCTCGCAACTACCAGACGGCTGTCGTAGCTCTGATCAACGAGCTCAACAACAACACCAAGTACCGTGGACAGATCACCATCTTCTCTCCGGACTTCACTCAGACTCTCCGTGACATCAAGAGCGGTGCATTGAGGACTGGACCTACCGCGGGATACCTGGATCGTTCCGGATACTGCGCCGATGTTGGGCCCATTGGCGAGTTTGTGTAAGTCTCCAAATTTTGCGACATGTCGATTGCATCTCAGGCAACGGCACCGAGTCTTCATACTGAAAGATTTGTCATTGAAACATCGGCTAACGTTTTGTTCACAATGTCTAGCCCACCCAATCCCGACTACACTTCGCCTAACTGCCAGTACTCGGCCCGCAAGTACCTCTTCCACGACCAGATTCACTTCACCTCGCCAACCCACTGCGAGTATGCTCTCAACTCTCTGCGTGCCATGGGAGTTACTGCAACTCCTCAGCAGCTGTCTTGTCAATTCGCTTAGAGGACAATGGCAGGATCGGAGGACAGCCGATTGTGTACATAGAATGCAAACTATGTTGCTGATAGAAGAGCCATCGTGACTCACTGCCGAACACGAGATCTGGGTTTCGAGCAGTTTTATAGGCTAGAACGAATATGAGATAGATTGCTAACTCGAATGAGTGTGAAAACGTGCGCAAAAATATCAACGATTTTAGCGCTTTGACGAAAATCTCACAACTTATGTCAGAATACAAGGATCATTTGTGCAACGAGAATGCCGGAAGCCCCATTAATTCCCCAATCTGGGCAATATATCCCTTACTGGGGCGCCGCGGACAGAAACGGGTCGCGCGGCCTCCGAAACCCAGGGCGCAAAAGAAATAAAACTAAAATAACGACATATGGACAGATGCTTCCTAGAACGGTCGAAGACACAAACTGTGCTGCCTTCTCATATTTCGGGCCCCGACCTCTCCTCCCCCGAAGACAAAACGCAGGTTGCTTCCAGTCTTGCGGATTTGAATCGGCTCCCACGGTACGCGAACATTCATATTGACTGGCAATCCTCCGATTGGCGACCCCCACTGATCGAGTGCCACTATTACACGCCCCTGGGGAAGCAAGACGCGAAGGATTACAGCATGGACGACAGCCAACTAGACGCCAGCGGTCATGAAGATGCCCCAGATGATGGCCCCGAAGAGGCGCCTGAGCCGACCTCAGCTAATCAACAAGTTACTATTCGCAGAGCAGTAGGTAGTTGCTGGTTTGCTCGTGAAGATAAAGCGCTGATTTGGAGTCTAGTGCGACGCTTGTAGAGCAAGAAAAGTGAGTTGATATACAAACAGCTGATGTTTTGGACCAGCCCACATGCCCAGAAACGACGATGTGCATCATTGCTTGGCATCACGTCAGACTTGACAGCACCGACCGGTCACTCAAGAACGAATGCTCACCTTAGTTCATGCATAGATCCGATGCAATAGAGAATCACCTTGTTCTTATTGCACTCATGCCAAGATCGAGTGTGCCCATGCAGACAACAAGCCCAAAGAAAAAAGGACTAGAATCCTCATCACCCCACAATAGTAAGTCGATCCCGCCTGCAACAACGATCTCACCTTCGGCAAAGCGAAATCTACTTTGAGCTTGCTTTTCTGTGAACGTGCTACTGTGACGCACATGATGATAACTTGCGTGCTACAGTGAAAGGAAGATTGACCAGATTGACCGTCGACTCGAGACGGTTATCAGGCTCCTTCATGATATGAAGGTCAACCCCTCGGCTGGAACGACCAGCAGTGATAGGTCAGGTGGAGTCTTGGGAACACCGCCTACGGAGGGAATGTCACTGTTCTCCCAAGATGGGCCTCCTACATCAACAAATACGCCATCGAGCCACGCTCTTCAGGCAGACGAAGAGTCGAGCGCGGTTGTTGAAGGAGAATCCTCTCTGGCGGCCCACTCGGTATTCGCGACGGAGTTCCTTCAGAAAGTGGTGAGCACCAAGTCACTGCAAGATTCAAGTCTCGACTTGGGTGAGACTCTGGAAGCGCTATCCCAAATCGTCACAGCTCTCAAGCAGCAGCCAGTTGCGGGAGAGATGACATATCCTCATGCAAAGCCGATACAAAGGCAACGCATCCAGGGTCTTGAGTTGCCACCCATTCAGAAAGCTGTAAACACCATTCGCGTTGCAAAGAGTAAGTCTCCTTCCCGACATATGTTCAACGAGGGATTGACTCATGCGAGGTGAAGGCCAACGACTCTCTGGAATGGCATGGATCTACGACTTCTTGCCAACCCGCCGATTTCCAGACCTCTGTCTTAATGTCTACTTCTCAGAAAACCACTCCGAATACGACTTCATCACTGTCAACGGCGGTCTCTACTCACTTTTCACCGACTACGCTGCACAAATCTCACCAGAAGATAAGAAAGAGTACCAAGAGTACGCGAGAATGTGTAGGACAAATCTGGAGACCAGCTTGTCGAACCTTCCACTTCACTTGCCAGCATCTGCCGACGTAATTGTAGCTCTTCTATTCGGAGTGAGTCAACTGAGTTCGTTTCTCCCACGCGCAATCGCTAATTACACCAGACATTCCACGCCGTCGAGATTTCAAAACCATCACTCGCATGGACGCTGGCATCAAAAGCCTCAGAATTATGTCAGACTTTGGGCTACCACAGAGCGGAGTGCCTGAAGAACACCAAAGATGACGGCAAACCCAGGGTTCGCGGCATGCACTGGCACCAATTCCTCTTCTGGAACGTCTACTATATCGACAAGAGCCTGTCACTTCGCTTGGGTCGTGCGTCAACAATTCCTGACTGGCACATCACCATGCCAGAGCCCTCATTAGAGGACCCCTTGGAGGACCCTCTACTACCGTACTACGTCCTATGGATCCACACCGCGAAGTGCCAGGGAAAGATCTATGAAATGTTGTACAGTCCAGACTCAATGGCACAGCCTTACCATGTCCGACAGACTCGCGTGCATGAGCTTGTTTCCATGCTCCATGACGTGGAAACGCGGACACAAGAGGCGAATGTGAGTATTTAGACATATTGCCGAAGCTGGACAACACTGACTCTCATAGCAGGCCAAATGGGGTGACAGGGCCCGAGAAATGGTGGAAGGGGCTTTCGTCGATTTCTGTCTCATATCTGACTCGGTTCTTCGTCTGTCAATGTTGACAATGGTATACAGAGCTGCACCGCGCGCTGAAGGTTCTCCCACGACTTTCAGCCCTGAGTGCATAAAGGCCGCTAGAGCAGCTCTTGAGAAACATCAAGAGTGTGTTTCGGTCATGCGGAAGTCTCATGATGTCTATTTTGCGACTTACATCCACTGGTTAGCTTCTCAATCTCAAGCTACTACGGGTCGCTGCTGACACTATTGCAGGACTATCATGTTCGCCCCATTCATACCCTTCATTGTGCTCTTCTGCCAAGTTATCGAGACGCAAGATCAGCAAGACTTGGCTCGCTTACATGGCTTCATCCTCTTCCTTCAGGAAGCAAACACTCTCTCCGATGCGGCGCACAAGATGCATCGCCTATTCCAGGTGCTCTACAGTGTCGCTCTCCGGTTTGTCGAATTCCGAACGTCCACGCCACAGGCGCAACAGACACAGGCGAGCGCTGAGATGGACGCTTATCTTGCTGCCCTTGGATTCCCTGCAAAAGGAGGCAATGGCGGAAATCAGCAGGTTCAGCCACAACCGCAGCATCAACATGAGATGGACTTTTCTCAAAATACGAGCCAGACATCTCAAATGGCGGGGGGCACTGTGATGTCGGGTATGGGAGGGGACTCGATGGACGAGGGGCTGATGAAGCCCGGGAACCCAATGATGTGGATGACGAATGCGGCCCAGCTGGAGGACTTCTTGTACAGCAACCAGGCCATGATGGACCTGCTGCAAGAGCCCAATTTCGAGTCAGGCCAGCACCCTTGAGTTGATTTTCGCTCGTGAAAGTCAAATGGAGGCGCGAGCTTGCAATTTGTAACATAAAATCACCGAGAGCATAGATCCCGTGGGAGACAGATATCGCCTTTGTAAACTACCTAACGACCCTTAACGACAAGATCTCATCTTCTCTCACGTCCAATCCAAGAACAGAGATCTGCATCACAGAATGGTTATTTCTGTCTCGGATAGCATGTTAGACTTCCAGACAATTTCAAACCAGTGGTCCCTTCCCGACTGATCCGCGCAAATGACTTCCAGTGTTCCAACCCGTATGGATGCGCCCTCAGAGCTTTCGGGGTCTTGGGTCACCACCATGAAAAAGTCTCGCGTCCTAGTCAAAGTCAGTTGGTTCTTGTCCGTCCTCATTCCCCTGATGTACAAAAGTGCTGCCGGAAGAAAAGAGCAGTGGGTGCAAAACCCAGAGTTGTAATGCTGGCCTTTACTCCGTCTGCAGATGAAACTCTTCTCTAGCTTTTCGACTGTCGGGTCTACCCATAGAGATGATCTTGCAGGACCGAACTCAGGCGGAGGTTCTCCATTAGGGGGAACGCAGTTCTGTTGCCATCCCCGATTGTCTTCACGAGCGTAGAGAAGGAATTTCCCATAAACGCGATTCGTCCAGCGTCTCTTCATGTCCCACCGTGAACAAGGCTTCTGGATGAAGACAGGCATCCGGCACGCTTTCACCTCAAGGCGGCCGTACGACACTGCGCCAGTTGGATCAGGGTCTCGCGGTGGGCAAGTGACTTTTGCTGTCTTCAAAATTCCGGTAGTCTTGTAATCAAGAATTTCAGCTCCATTGAATATGGGATATTCGACTTTGCATCCGCTCCCCGTCGAAGCCCACGACCAAGACGGCGCGATCCACTTCCGACGCAAAATTGTTTCGCGTTGTTCCCGCCAGTTTGCCACGGTCGACACATGCCACATTAAATCTTGCTCCAGATTATTTCTCCAAAGCCCTGCGAGAAAGGTATCTTTTGTGATTTCAGCCATCTCACGGGCTAGACCAGAGAGTGCAGGCAGCATATCCGAGGTCTTGGTGAGATTAAGACAGGTGTACTCGCCTACTACTCGATGCCACCTCTCATAAGGGTCGATCTTCCCGTTTTCTGCGTGGAGGGCTGATGATGATGTGGTCGTGCGGTTGTTCAACAATGCCACATACTTCGATCTCGAACGCAGTGGAGTGTACGTGCCGGAAAGACCAACGACGTTATCCCAATCATAGTGCTGTTTACCACCGCACTCGCATGTGTAACCCTTCCCGCAGTCGAATGCAAGCTCTCCGTAGTTGCAGTGAATGACCCGGCGAGAGAGAAGCCGCTCTTGGAGGCACCAGGCTCTGTTGAAAAGCGGGAAGTATCGTTGAAGCTTATCGTGCTGTGCCAAGTTCCGAGTTGCGCCTGTAGCTAGCGCGATGAGGAATTCGTCCCCGGTTTGGTTGTTGATCTTGAAGCATACTGGTGGGGATGTCTTGGAATAACATCCTCCCTTTGAGTCATGAGACCAGCTGACTGCGATGGTTGCATATTAATTGCGATAGATGTCGACCATCTGTGCAGCTTCCCTCTCCCAGTCGGCAGAATTATCTTGAATTGTACACAAAGAGTCAATCCACAAGTATTGGACTCTCAACTTTCGCGTAATCTCGACTGCTTGCTAGAAGCTTGGAGGAAGCAAAGACCAAGGAATAAAATCGAGCCTCTGTTGTAGAGTTGCATTTTCCGTTTTAGACCTGATTGGGGTCTTACCCCAGCAGTGACTGAGGCACATATAAGTTCCTCTTTGCCCTCTTGTGTTCATAAGACGTACGCCGTCGATTCCGTTGTCTGAAACCCCGGTCACGTCGATGAGACGCGTTGGAAGTTCCAGCTGGGTCCCTTTGCCGCATTCCTTGTGGTTCGCTTCGCAGTCTCCAATCCAGGTTCGAGCGCGTTGAAGGCTCAAAGAAGATGATGTGTCTCCTGCCATCCCATTGGTTGTGTCCATCCGTCGAAATGTATTGCACGAGTTTGAAAGGTTGAGGATTCTGACGCATGTCTCCTGTCCGTCTGGCGCCATGACCTTCAGCGTGCCCTTGTGGCCGACGATCCATCTGATTGTTATAGAAGGAGAAAGAGATAATGAATGTTGTGCCTCAGCTTCATCAAGCATCAGTCTAACAGCTCCACAGGTCCCACATCCACTGAGGGCAGATTCTGCCAGTTTATGATACTCAAAGGCCTTCCCTTGAGCAACGCGGTGCTTGCCTCGTCTGATGATATCTTCGTGGGATGCTTGTGAGCTTTTGATCCCTTCTGGTGAGAGCTTCTGTCGAGAGGCGTATGCAGAGCAGTAGAGGAGACAGCCCTCTGTGCCAAGTGTGTCGAAGAAGTCGAACGTCTTTGGCCGAGCGCCATCCGTTCAGCGAGTGCTGAGAGCGTTCTCGAGAGATAATGGACGAATTAAATACTTCATGTTCGATCTACCTAGATCATAGATCACATGCAAATATGTTCAGTCAAGCTTTGAGTCTCTTGAAGAGTATGACATGGTCAGCTTCGCACGTAGCACGATTAGGCAGCCAGGCAGCCAAAGTGCGCGGCCTTTTGTGGCACACTCACACGTGCATCATCGGGACAAGCTACCAATTACAACTCCTCTGCAACATGTAAGCGATCATGATCCCTGCAACTCTGCTACGAGCGGGCTCGATCAACCTTTCAAAGACCACTAAAACACATCAAATGGCATTGGCAATTCAAACAACTCAATTTCATCAACTTCGTCTCACGACAGTACTCACAATGCGAGTACTTCTTTCGCTCATGGTTATCCACTGCTATACTTATTCAACACTCGGGTTTTCCTCCATTATGCTAGAATCTCACTCCGTATTCCACCTCATGGAGGAGACAATGCCGCCGTCCACCAAGATATCAGTACCAGTGATGAAGCAGGACGCAGGATTGACAAGAAATGCTACCGCGTTGACAATGTCTGCCGGCGTCACAGCCCTTCTAGCAGGAGATATCCTTACTAGATTATCAACGGATCCATCCACCCCGCGCTGATCAGTCCGAGCAGGAATCACTCCAGGGCTGACAGAGTTGATCCTAGCCCCCCTCAACCCCCAAGCCGCCGCAGATGCTTGTACCCGGACCAGCTTCCCGCGCATAGATAGACCGTATGCTGCAGCCGCACCTTGAGGGCCCGTTTCATTGATGTTGAAGTCGGGATGCGCGAGTAGCCGTTCACGCGATGCCGTGGCGAGGTGACGTTCAAAAGCAGGATCTAGAGGTGGGCAAAGGTGGCCCGCCATTCCAGAGATGCAGACGAAGTTGGAACCAGCATGCACAATTTGAAGGAAGGCATCTATAACGTTGATGGTCCCGAGCAGGTCGATTTCGTAGACGGTGCGGGCGCGATCGGCCGCTGGACCAACGCCAGCGGCGAGGATAATCGTCTCAACGGGGCCTACGACAAAGGCCTTTTGCGCAAGCTCTTTCACCGATTCGAAGCTCGAGATATCCACGAGTGCCGTATGAACGAAATAACCTTCGTTGAGTAAGGCTGTTGCAGCGATGGATAGCCTATCGGCCGAGACATCCGCGAGGAGGACCTGTCGGCCGATGCCCAGACGGCGGGCGCAGGGGAGGCCCTTGCCGCCGCATCCAATTACCACGACCACGTTCGAGGACTGCATTTTGCTTTTCTTGCTGAAGATAAAGTATGCTTGATGTTGTATGCGATTGGGAAGAGGACGCGTTTCACAGTGCCATGAGCAAAGCTTTCAATGTTGGTTAAGCGATGGAGTCATGCTGGACTTCGCTCTCGCTCTCGCTATCGGTAATGCGCACCGCTAGAACTTCAAATTCTCTGTGATCAACGCCGAATCTTTTATTGAGCTGTTAGTGTATGATTTCTATGTTTATAAACCTTCGTTGTCACAGCTGAGTTTAGTTGAAGCGATTACGGGCGGCGGCAAGGACGTTAACGGAGACGACAACAGAGACAACGGCTAACGTGAGAATAGCTACGAGTGTAGAGACACTGAAGCGAAAAATGCCATTGCAACTATTGAAATTACTCTTTCGGACCAGCAGTGAGACTATCCTGGGCATCACGAACAGCATTTCGGCCAAATGCCTGCATCTCTTAAAGGTGACACACACGAAAGAAGAACTACAAAAGCAAAGAAAATAGCAGGAATAATAATGAGAAGGGCATAATGCTTCATGCAGCACTTCTTTCACTTAGAATTCTCCACCCGAATTGAGACATTTGTCACAGCAATATGGGATGTTCAATAGCGTACGAGACAGCAATGCCAATTAATACAGCGTAGCGACTACCAATCCAAAATCTGCTACTGCAACATAGGGGGCGGGAGGGGTGCTATGGATGCTCCGTTCCTGCTAAGAACACTGAAGACGCTAAAGCTCTGGTGAATTTCCCCCTTCTAGTGTCACGGCTGTGCGAGCAACAACCAAAACGACAGGTGACCACTCCGATAGGACGTCTTTGCCACGCATGAGGCCGTTGTTTGTGCGAACTTGGTACTGGTATTCAACTCCATCCTCAATACCCCTTGTGTCATGTCTGTTTGTGTCTTTGCGCCAAACGTCCCACTCTGAAGTATTGGTGGAGCGGCATCTCACGTCATATCCCAGGGCGCCATAGACGTAGTCCCATGTGACAATGATTGCATCTTGCTGGGACACTGCAGTGACGTTCGTCGGAACAGGACTCGGTCTTTCTGGGATTTTCTGTGGAATTACGAGTTCCTTAGTGCCGATCCCGAACTCATACACCAAAGTTTGAGAGAATGCTCTAGCAATCTGGAACTCGCCAAGGGCATTGGGATGTAATCCGTCGTAGCTACCATCGAAGCAGTCGTATATCTCGCGTGTTCTGGCCAAGCGAACAGGAGATTCTCGATGATCCCAGCTGTGGATCGATGGCTCCAGGTATTTGTTGTACGTGTCGACCATCTTTGCCAAGTGCTTGGTGTCTTTCGTGGGGGTTCGCTGAGGGACACTTGCGACGGCAAACTTCAAACGTGGACTGGCAGAGCGGGCGTTTTCGAGCAGCTCCTTCATGACCTTGATAGTGTCTTCCGGGCCTCTGACCCCCCATCCCATATCGTTAAAGCCAAGCATAACAAGTAGCAAGTCTGGTTCGTACGTTGCCACCTGCTGGCGAATCGCCTCCGCGCATTGCCCTGTTTGCTGCCCCCAAACTGAGAAATGCTGAGATTCAAATTTCACTCCGTCTGCGTAACCACCGTTGTCCATCAACTTGCAAATCTCAGGCGATTGCTCATCTGACTGTTCTATCGCCAGCAGAGACGGGCTCGAGGTCTGTGATTCCGAGGGTTTGAAGGTGCTGTTGCACGGACCAACAAACTCAAAGTTGAGATTCTCCTCATTGAGCCATTCCCATAGCCTGTACCGCCAGGTGAAGTCTCCCTCGCGGCCGTGAGACATTGAGTCCCCAACGACCATGATTTTCGAAGGGTGCTTGATTTCCGTCGAGTGACCAGGCATAATAGCCAGCTTTTGCTCTGATGGTGTCAGCATTGATGTCATCGTAGACTTAATGGCGGCGTACCGAAAAGGTGCATCTGAGTCCAGACGAAGCTCAAAGCAAAGCGTGAATATCCTAAAGCAGGTTGATGTTGCTGTGGGATTAAAATGGTGAAGTTGCACATCAAAATTCGAGCAACGGCTGTGAAAGGATTGAACAACATTTTGTAGGCTGCCTGATAGGTCCATACAGCGCAGCACTCAGGATCGCTAGTGTTATATCGTTGGGGAACATTGGTGTCGTCATTGGGCGTCGGCACTTTGAATCTAGTTGACTTTCCGTTCAGCGGGGAAACTCACCTTCCCTTGCACCTTCTTCGACGAACACCTGGTCTGTGAGGCAGACGGCACTTTCCCATAATTTGCGTTGTTTCGGGTCGTTCATGAAAAAATAACGTAGGAAGTAGTTTCCTCGGCAATTATGTCGTCTTGGCTCTTTCCATGATTAAGCCATGAACTCAAGGTCATGAACTCCATTAACAGGAAAGGGCCTGAGGCGCTCTGTAGGAAGTCACAGTCCGAAGTACATTGCATACTGGCCTCAGCACACATTGAAAGCAACCGGTTCATCTACTGCAACTCTCTTAAACCCTTAAAGACCTCAATCTAATTGTCAATCCCCTCATTCAAATGGCGATTACCTCCCAGTGAGTAGTCCAAAGCCAGCGGCCCGTGCTAAAGCCCGGCATATTGGTTAAGCGCTGCTACCTGGGGCACTAAAGAAGCAGAGTGGAGATGCAAATTGGAGTCGTCGATGGGTCTTGGCGGTTAAGTGCAGCAAGACGGGTTAGGGCTGATCCACCTTTCCCACCATTGGGACATCGTTGCAAAATCTTCATTGATTTTCATCCAATAACATCCGATATGGTGTAGTGGCCAACATGATGCCCTCTCATCTCGTGAGACTCTAGGCATAGCCCCGAGTTCGATTCTCGGTTTCGGAACGTTTTGCTTTTGCTTCGGCTGGGTACCGGCCCCCAAGATACCTGTCTATATGGCCGAATCACAGAGGATGTTTGTACTTTTGTCTCTCACGGGTTTGTTGCAGTATTCGCAACTTGTTTGTTTCAAGCTTAGCAAATCTCGCCAGATATGAAAGGAAGGGCGTGAGCATATACAGGAAACTTCACAGTAGCGGAACTACCGTAGTCTCGTCAGTGACAGAATGCGATGTTGACTTTAGTATTTTGTGACTCGAATTCGTATTCTTTGATTCTTCTGAAACTCATCGCAGCCGTTCCTAGAATATCCTTTTCCAACTACACGCTGAACTTTCTCAAGAGCTTCCTGAAGCCACTCTGCCCTCGTGCGACTACCACTGACCTGAAGCTGTCATGGTTCTCGGGCTTCTTAACCTCCTGATGAACATAATAGACATCATTCCGTCTAGCTAATGATGTGAGGGCTGATGGGTGGGCCGTATGCCTCGACAGTCTCGCGCTTCTCCTCCACAGCCGGGATATGAGGGTTTATGGGGGGACCGTAGGCCTCGACGGTATCCTTCTTTGTCTTGGAAATGATGTGGGGATTCACAGGAGGCCCGTAGGCCTCGACTGTGTCTTTCTTCGAAATGATATGCGGGTTCACAGGCGGGCCGTACGCTTCGACAGTGTCCTTTTTGGAGATGATATGTGGATTGACAGGTGGTCCGTACGCCTCCACGGTGTCTTTCTTGGAGATGACATCCGGGCTGGTAGGAGGCCCATACGCCTCGGCGACAACTGGCGCAGCAGAGGCGAACGAGACGCAAGCTGCGACGGAGACAAGAAGACTTTGGACACGCATGATGAATAATTGGTATGATGACCGGCTGTCTGGGGACTTCCAAGGTTGTTGTGACCTGCTTGATGATTTTAAGTTGATGAAGACCACTTCTGGTTATTTCGGTCGTCGCTTTATACCATCTCTTCAAGCCTTCCAACTTTTTGAGTTGATCATCTGATACAAGATACTTTCACTCTTCACCCCTGAAGAGGGATTCCGCTGCCCCTTCGCAAAGATAAGCGCCTGTTCTCGTTCCGCCCGACGTGCCCGTAACCAAGTGGCACTTGGTCCTTGTGGGACTAGACTGTGTATGATACCATTGTCGCCAATGTGACGCGAAATCCATCGTCCATCCTACTCGAAGCTTCACGCCAATGAAGGCATGCCGTATATTTCACATGACGTACTGAACACATTCTTTACATGCCGTTTCGAGACAGTCCGAGATCGTGACTTCTGGGCTAACTCCATCGAGAAGGTAGACAGCCGCCCCCAGGTGCTGGATGGACTTACAAGGGGTACCTGCAAGCGTGGAATCCTACGCTTAGCAAGGGACGTTGCTAAATAGACTTAGTTCATGTCTAAATCGCGGGTCCATACCGCACCCTAGCCGAAAGCTCTACCCCATCTGCATTTCACCCTAGTCTGCCTTGTTCTACTGGAGGATGAGCTTTTGGGGTGTCAGAGGCCAGTCTTTTCTTTTGCCCCTCTTCTTGAATGCCTTTCAGCTCATCCTTCAGCTGTTTGAGAGTTCATCGTGAGCAGATTTCATGTGCCAAATTGACATTCATTGGCCTATCCGAGCTGCTCAAAACAACTTCATTCTCAATATTCTGTCTTTTTTCATGCGGCGAAATGGACTATATCAAGACATCTCACACATGCTTACTGCCTGGTCGCTGAATAAGTCCAGTTTGGTAGTCAAATCTCACTTCTTGGCATAATCCTGATGGTCTCGGCGCATCCTTCAGCTGCATTGTGTGATTGGGCAATGCGTCTCATGCAGCCGCGAGTTCCTACACTTTATGCAGGACGTGAAGGATCTAGATGGCTTTTCGATTTCAGGCAGGTGGAAACATTTCATCTTACGACTTCACTCGGTCTGGACAGTTTGGCAGAATCCTTCATTTTGCCATCGCTTACGGAGTACTGCGATTTTGCCGACGTTGACCCCAATGGGCGTGCCAGGAAAACCAGAATCTTCTGCTACAGCCCGTTTGCTTCGCTTGCGGCAGACTCTTCTTTTCAACTCAACTCGCAGAAATGAGTGATATCTATCACCACGGCCTTGAGGAGGACTCTGCCGAGAGCCTTTTGGATGAGGTGAGCAAACACTTGTTGCTGCCGACTTTTGCTGAGGAGAGCTAAGGATTGGAGTCATCGAAATTGGACTGGCCCTCTCATGTTCCTCCGAGTAGGCAGGTATGGAGCTATCGCTCGAAAGCAGTCACGATCCTCAATGTTTTCTTCTTCATCTTGTCGTGTGGAATGCTGTTCGTCTCTTGGAGACTACTGCATGACCCCATTCGGCTTATGAAGCGGATTTCACCTTACAGTAAGTTCGTACTATTGTTCGCGAATGTTGGTCTCACGCCGCTTCTTAGGTCCCATACTCGACGACGTTCCAATCAAGCTCGAGACCGTCGAAGTAAAAGGAACGCTGTTCAACGACTACACTCCATCCCGCATTTGGCGACAGCCGCCCAGCGAAGAGGTCGACAAAGCATGGGATGACATGGCGCGCATCGAGTATTTTGGTGTAAGGGGAGATGCACTCAGAAAGATGGGCAAAGATCCAAAGATTTCTGTGTCTATCCCTGAGGACTGGGGCGTGGGCCCCGACAAGTACCTGGTCGAGATTGACATGCAACACCAGCTGCATTGTCTCAACGCGATACGTAAATATGCCCACTGGGACTACGTAAGTGGAAAATATCAAATTGTTGTCATTGCATCTTTGGCTAGGGCGCTAATGGAACAGCAGTACTACGGCAATGCTTACAAAAATATGTATGTTCAATTCCACCTCATTCACCCACTACACAATGTTGACTCTTGAACAAGCTCAATGGCGCCCAAACGACATCAAGCTCACCTGGCACATTGTGTCGATATTATCTTGCAGGCTTTGACATGCAATCCAAGCCTTGATCTCATTTCGCACAACTGGATGAAGACCCAGGAGAACCCGTATCCTGACTTCAATATCAAGAGGCAGTGCGTAGCGCACGAACCCATCTTAGAGTGGCAGCACCAGAATGGCATCTCAGAGCAAATTTTGAAGTTCAAGAATCTTCCCAGGCCTGATGACTTTCCGGAGGTTGAACCAGAACCATCGATACTTGTGATCGGAGAAGATTTAGGACATCATGAATAGCCAGCCCATGGCCTCCTGCAAGAATCAAGTACATTGCATTCGTATATGCACCATTCAATAGCATTTAGCTAGACCCAGTTCTGAAGGTTTCTTGATGGCCCTCCCTTTTCACATACAACATAACAAAGCATCAAAATACAGATATCAATTTGGGTCCAATAAACCTATCCCTCCGTCATAAACCCATGACCACAAGCACCAAAAGGAAAGAGTGATCAATAAATGATGTAATAAGCCGTTACGCTCCAAGAAGCTCAACCTCGTGTTGGTGTGGGTGTCCCTTGCCATTGGTCTTATCCGCGTTCATGAATTGGTACGTGCAGTGGTCAGGGTGATCAGCAATGTCCTTGACGTACAGTTTGTCGGCGTTGGACTTGTCGGCGTAGGGCTTGATCAAGCATTGTTCCATGCCGCCTGCATGCTGGTTCTTAGGGATGTAATCAGGGTCGTTGACGAGCTTGTCGAAAAGAGTGTGGTGAAGGGTTGCGTCGTCTGGAATGTCTCTCGTGCAGCCTTTGTTAAGAGGGAGTCTGACCCACTTCCACTCGTATGTATTCTTGCCGTTTTTGTCGACGCCTGTGTGATAACGCTCCCACCTTGTGATCAAAGGGAAACGTTCTGTTCAGATGGATCAGAGAGGAGTACAGAAAAGCATCCCTCGGTTTCGGGACAAACTTACCCAGGAAGTTCCAGAACATAACCATCAAGGGGTTGCTAGTACCATATCCAAACTTCAATGTGTCATGAACGGCGCCACTGATGGCAGTTGGTTTGTTGTGCTCCAACCGATGCTTGAACTCGCTAACTTGCTCCGTCTGCCAATGGATATTGGGAGCCTTAAGCTCAAGCTCTCGCAGCATCCAAGCAAGGGGAATGTCGCTCAATTGGCACGGCTCAAACGTGATCTGCTTTTTGTTCGTATGAGTAGAATCCCTGCAGATCAGGTCTTCCTTGCACAATGAGCATTCCTTGAACACACATCCCTGGTGCTCATTGCACAAATGGCAATGCTTGTCCTTGCACAGGCCACAATCGTCACACACGTAGCAATCTGGCCCCGTGAGTTTTGCCGGCTTTTTCTGTTCTCCAAACATCTTGTTCCACATCCACGTAAAGACGCCGGTCTTCTGGGGAAGGTCGTCAACTGGATGATATCCTCCACCAACGTCGCAGTGATTTCCTGGAAACCAAACCTCCTTGATGTCCTCGTGGGCGTGTTTCTTCAGCTTGTCCTTGTCCTGCTGGAACAGGGCTGCCTTGAACTTGACTCGGCGCTCGTCAACGGCGACAGCATGGCGAATGATGTCTGCGGTTCCCTTCACCTTGACGTTCTTGGTGGCTTTCTGCTCCATGACGCTCACAGAGTTGACACAGTCCCAAAGACCAAGAAAGTGGACCTTGACGTTGACCAACTTTTGCTTCTTCCTGTCGGTATCGCGGTTCTCCTCTTTGCGACAGAAGGAGTTGCTAAACTTACGTAAAACGTGGTTGCGTTTTACGCGCTGTTCCTCATCTTGAGCCTCCTGCTTCTCTTCCTTGGAATGGCACTGGTCATTGCTGTCATGGCCAGGGTTGTGCTCCACGACTGCGCCGTTGCTCTTGCGCTTTTCTAGTTCCTTCTTCTTCTTGGTCTTCTTGTTGTCTTTGCAGAGAAATTCACCATCGAGGTGGCGATCGTAAAGGCGATATGCGAATGGCACCATCTCCTCGTTCCCCCTGCAAAGCAGCCCAACGGTGTTGACCATGCGTGCGAGGAACTTGGCCGTGTAGGCGCCGCGACTGAATCCAAACATGTAAATGTCATCCCCCTGCGAATTAAGTCAATATCATGTGAACAAAAGCTCAGTAAAGTCACTCACAGTCTCGTAGTAACGCATCAAGAATCTGTAACCAGCCATGATGTGGGCGTCGAAGGTCAAACCAACTCCTTGATCAACAGAGGAGTAGAACTTTTCCCACAGCTTTCCTGCGGGTCCTTTGTGTACAGATCGCTCGTTAACCTGGTAAGTACCGATACCAGCTGTTGCAGCTCGTCAGTCACCGAAGTTCTGTTCTGTCGTTGAGACTTACTTTGATAGTAGTGGAATTGATCTTCATGATTGCGATCCAACATGCTCAGAAGTTTGACCACGTTAGTGTCCTTCTCAGTTCCACTAAACTCGTTGCCAGTGCCATCGAAGAACAACAGAAGATTTCTCTTGTTGCTCTTCTTCTTTCCTGGCACTCGACCCCTGGGGAATTCCGGTTGGGTAGGACTGCTCTGAAGCGACGAGAGAGCCGTGTCCATGGAGGCTTGAGACTGATCAGAAGGGAACGACATCTTGACTATGAGAGATGTAAACTTTCGATATACTGTGGCTTGGGTGATTCCTTTCGAATTGATTCCACGGAGCCAACTATTTATATCAGTTCCCTGTCTGTACTCAAAACAGTGTGCTTCTACTGTTTGCGCTGCCTCAGCATCGTTGGATATGCCGCTGTATCAGCACATGCCAACGAAAGCCCAAACATGCGAACGGAAATTGAACTTTCGGCTACTCCCTAGCAGTATGTTTAGCATCATGAAAACGATTCCACTGTAGATCACAGTTTGAGACGTTCTTCCGCTAGAGCACGCGCGCTCAGCCCAACGAACACCATAATCACAATACCATCCTCGTCCTGATCGCAGATTTCCTTCGCGCCTGTTCTGTTACGGTTTAGGCTCTCAGGTAGCCACATGGCCTTCATCCACGGCGCTTGACTCCGGTTGGAGACGTTGCCTCGCCGAACGGGGCCAAGCGCCACGGGCTGAGAGGCCGGCTGAGACATCGCACGAGACACTGTCTGACTGCCCAAGTCAGCTCCGTGTCTCGCAGAGCGATTCGTCGAATCAAGAGGCTCTGACGGGTTTCCCCGCCTTGTCAGCCAACTGTCCCGGGAGCATCTTCCCGACTTGAGACGCGCTTGTGGCTATCTGGGGAAATTCTGTGTGATGATCTCCCTGCCCGACTCCACGTTCGCGGAGACGTGTTGCAGAATCAGCGATATGAGCCAAGCCACTGGGTCGAGAAATACGAACGCAATCATTCCAGGTCTTCAGCCTTCCTGACAATTGAAATGTGCTTGGCTTTGCAGCTCCTGAGATAGGAAACTTGAGGCATGTGCTGTGATGAGAGAGCAAAAATCGGTAGTCATTATTCGGGGGTGTCTCAAGTCTTTCTCGGAGTGTTCTATTGCCAAGATCAGCCCAGCTATCCGGAGTGCCTAAGAGAAGAAGTACCCATCGGCGCACAGCAATTGCCTGCCGAGGAGTCCTCGGATGTCCGTCCAACATTCTTGTTCTGGTTCCTCTTGATGTACAGAGCATGAATCCTTTCAAGCAGCCATGGAGTCCTCGTAAATTCTCGAGCTACCAATCCTAGCAACAGGCATTCACGATTGAATCGATCAATTCAAGCAGATGATTTCCTGCACTTCAACCTTCCGGGACAGAAGCATATGTTCCAATTTTGGGTGCCCATCCTCTCAGTCTTCGTCAGTGTCAATCCTATGTTAACTCTCACATTTATCTATCATCTCAATGGGCACCCCGTGAAGTATTTCTGTTTTCGTTCCCATTGAGCTAGCTAGCTATTCACGCGACCTTGGCCGTTAACAACAGACGTCTTACTGGGCAGAAGCCACTCGAGTTGTCTCAATCCGTCCGCAAGGACAATCTCTGTTCTTTCTTCCCGCATTTTCCTGGTTGGGCAACCAGAATGGCTGATCTTCGCTAGTCAGTATCTTCTGCCATTGATATTCACGTGTCTATTTTGGGCAGAACAGGATCGTCCGAAATCGAATGTCTCACATAACATATCCCCAGGTAGATTCAAGCACTGGGCCGTGACATATGCCAACCACAACCAACCAGAATTATCGGCAGCAGACCGGTGACCGTTCACTGGCAATAAGTTGGTTCTATTAGATCTTACAGGAACTGTGCTGCCCAGTCGGCTGCGGTGCCTAGTATCTAAGCATAGCCTCTCGATCTCAGGACCTGTCGATTGTGGTATGACGTAGTCTGAATTCGAAACAGCATGGAAAACGTCGCGATGAATTGATCGTATCTCTCTCACAGACCGCATATTTCGATCCACGTCGGGAGCAGCCATTAGCGTAAAGCTTACTTACTCGGGCAATGCAGACGCTGAATCGTCGTGATCCTTCTCCGTTTTCCATCATTGATGCATTGTAATAAGCGCTTGATCTTACCTTGGTTCTAAACCGTCCCCACGTACTTTTTCCAGGATGATGTGGACTTTGTAAGCCCCTCGAAACGTAAGAACGCGGGTTTACCACCAGTTGGTATTACTCGTTTTCAGAAAGCCGACTGCATTGACGTCGAGTAATCTAGTTAGTCTGTGGAGATGAATAAATACCAGATTCTCGTCACGCTTTCTGGTAAAACGCATCTGTTGTGGGGCAGTTCATATCAGTATAAACACCACACGAGATTCCGTGAATGCCGCTACTTATATATTCACTGGCTTACGCAAATTATGATTCATCTCAAAGCAACAATGCAATGCACTTTGGTGGCTGAGGCAGCAAGGACAGAGTGAATGCATATCCTAGCCAGTATACCTGATCGTGATGTGCGTTGAAGACCATGTCCCACGCTCCTGGTCATAGAGAGCTACGCCTGTCTCCTCGCGAGTATTTGCGTCCACATACTTACCAGATGGCATGACAAAAGCATGCAAGCATGAATTCTGTAGAGGGTGGCAGTTCTCTCGCACGCTCTGCTTCGAGCAGACATGTTGCCTGCTAGAATCTTCGAGGTCGTTCGGCCTGCTTAGCCTATCTTGTTGTCGCTTGCTTCAGACCCTCCGAATAATCTCCTGCGGATGCTTTTATTTCCAATCGCAGCCTCTGTGTGTCTTAGCTTGTCGGTTCGAATGGTATCTTAGATTGCTGCATGCTCAAGCGCATACCTGCCAGCGTGTACGTCCGTCCCCAGATCGTAAGCGGGAAGCTGATATGTTCCAGGCACTATGTATAAAGGGCTCAGGTCTGAGTACATGTGAGTTCCTCAAAATCGGCCCCCTGTCGACCATTTTGAAACTGGCTCCAGTTGAAGAAGCTGAAGCCTCTTCCTCCGCAGTATTTAGGACTCAATGAACACCACGTATCTCGTTGATCGCTTCGTCTTGCCACCTAACGCTGCTTCACCCTGTCAGTGCTTTATTCTTACTCGAATAATCAGACCAGCTAATTTGAGGAAGTCCATTGGACATCTGCGTTAGTGCTTGTGTAGTAGACCCGCAATCAAGGTGTGTCTCTTGTCATTACGAACAAGCACGAAGGCTGGAAAGCTATGGAATTGGCTGCGAGTTGAATTTTCCCCGCACAATCTGCTTTCATTAAATAATCCGTAGTCGAAGTGGCATCCAGGGGCTTGAAGAAATGCTGACGTCTTGCGGGGATGGAAATACAAAACAGTCCCCTGACTTCTCAAATCACTGATCTCTACCCAAGACAAAAGGAACCTGAGAAGTGCGCACCGTCACACAACCGTTGCTCCAAATGGAGACTATAAATTGAACACGATTTGACTTCAAAAGACGCTCAATGATGCAATAGTGACAATACTGTGTCTTTGGTTAAGGCACATCTAAAGACAAGTATCATCGACGACAACGGGCGACTTCAACAGTGTGCTCTCTCGAGAATACATGTCGCATGGGCTTTCGTCCTTCCTCGTCCATGACATCTGTTGATTATGTCGAATAGCACGTAGCCACAGACGACACAGTAGGCATTGAGGCTTTGCCCATTTCAGATTGTCAATGAGAATTCTCGATGTGTCAACCCTTACGTTGACATTGAGACACACATGAATTTCTTGTCCGCCTTCGTTCTTGCCATTGGCTCCTGCCATCATGAAGATAGAAAGTCCATGACAATCGATTTGCTTAAATAAAAAAAAAACCCTGTCCCCAGCTGGGGCCTGGCGACACAAGAAGCAACTAGGATGGCATGGATCAAGCTATCTCAAGATCACGCTCAGTGTGCTTCAGAACACGACGTATCGGTCATCCTCTTAGGCCTTATTTAACTTGAAATGGAGTAAAGAAAGCTCTATCAATGGTGTCGTGGGGATGGATTGTTGAAAACGACAGGGAATGCGGCTGTCGCATGCTCCACGCCTGGTATACAGCCTGCTAGATTATTCACGTCACTACCACCCGTCATTCTCTCTGTTCCCCACGTAATCTCAGCATCGTATGATGATTAGAATCATATCATCGTCGACGTAGCTAGCTCGTCTCTCCGAAACACGCAAAGATGATGATCTCCGGCTCGCTTGCACACCTTTCCGCAGCGAGATACTCGCAACATCGACTCCCATTTGCCGAGAAGAGAGTCAAAATCACATTGAACAGTTGAACTTATACTCCTCTAACTCACTGACCCTGAGGGCAGCTTGGACACGGAAACCCCGCGAAAGTAGTTCTCGAAACGAATCACGATGGATTACGTTTAAATTCAAAATTGATACGCAGTCTCCTAAGTTTCCCCAACGCCCAATGAAACCTCTCGAGATTCTTTCCACTGGAGTACTCGCATACTAAAGAAGCGTCTCAGCAAGACCGTCGGAAAAGTCGAGCTGCAGTCTCCACAGCCATGCGCGCGACGTTCTCTCCATGTGGCCATCCATCATCCTCGTCGGCCATGATCCAGTCCGAAGTATTCAAGTAATATTACAGACCCCATGTCAGACATACCCTATGATGCATACAGTAGCCTAACGTGAGCAATGTTGGAATCGCACAAGTGTACATTGCAGCGAGCCCAAGGAGACACGGAAATTCGACATTTGCGCTGTTCCTTATTCTTCTTGCTAAACGAGAAAAGTAATCGCTATTTAAACACAAACATACCAAGACACCGATAGTTCTTTCCAAAAATGAAGAAATGAATTGTTCGTGGAGCATGTGGTCGTCCATACCTTGGCTACACACCCTGTTGACCTTCAAGACCGTCCCGACCCGAGGACGACATGTGCCATTACGGTGAACGACAGTGAGGCATCTACCACAAAGTCCAGGTCTTGGAGACTCGGCATTATTTATCACGGAAAATCGTCGATGGCTAATGCAGCAAGGAGTAACGACGACGGCGACGGCAGCAACAGCCTCATCAGTGACAAGGGAAATAAAACATCACAATAAGTTACACCAAAATTCAACGACAGCCCTCAACCATCCCAAACTCTATCAAAAGCAATAAAAGACCAAACACCCTACCTCAAATCTCCCATCTATCTCTCAAGAAATTCCACCGAGGTCCTCA